CAATCACAACATGGACTTTGATAGTTGCTTCACAACTAAAGTAATAAAATCACTTCCAAAGGATGAATGCAACCCTTCCATGTTAAGAAGGTGGGAACTGGCATTCCAGTATATAACCAACTCTAGAACTCCCCCCAACCTTAACCTAAGATAAACCTGTCCCAGCAGCTAGCTAAATACATAATAGGCCTAGTTTGTATATAAAATATTATATGTGTGTGTATACAAAGTTGTGTACATAGTTGAAAATAGACTAATGAGATGTGGCAACCCTGCATAGTTGACAACAGCCATCGACCATGACAGCAGCCATCTTGTAATTTATAAACTCTCTCTACACTTGACAAAGTCCCTTAGGGGACGAAATATTGTGTGCAAATTGTTTTCTACTTGTTCTATGTAGCCTACCCACACTTTCAAGGTAAGCTAGCTGCTATCCTCCTTTTTCTAAAATTTAAAATCCTGGCCTAGAGCCTTTCCTTAAACAAAACCATTCTCTTAAAAAAGTTATTCTTGTAAAGATTTTGTAAATTCAACGGTTTTTGAGTTATTTAAGAAACCAAATTTTAAATGGCCGCCATTTTGTTTTATGATTTGAAAAATATTCATATTTTTTTGGTAGCTAGTTGTCATAAATGTTAATGCAAAGTTTCCATTTCGTATGTTTAACCATTCTTTAGAAAAAAAACTAATAACTGAAAAAAAACAAAACGGCAGCTGTGTGAGTAACAAAGGACTTCCGGACAACTTAAATATGATATTTAGGTATGTTTCTCACAGCAATGCCCTATAAATATTGGTAGAGAGTTCTGGGACACCCTGTATATCATGTTTATGAGGTTGATCGAGTTGTTTGTTGCAGCTGCTGCCTTGATCAAACTGAGCTTGTCCATGGGAGGTTTACCGTGGTGTACAGACCTAACTGTATCAGACAGCTTTGTCATCCCAATAGCTCTGGGCCTAACTAACCTGGCTATCATAGAGGTATGTAACACATCAAACTGAGCTTGTCCATGGGAGATCTGCTGTGGTGTACAAACCTCACTGTATCATACAGGATCCCAATAGCTATGGGACTCACTAACCTTGCTATTGGAGAGGTATTGTAGAGGTATGAGTCACATCAAACTGAGCTTGTCCATGGGAGATCTGCTGTGGTGGACAGACCTCACTGTATCATACAGGATCCCAATAGCTATGGGACTCACTAACCTGGCTATCATAGAGGTATGTAACACATCAAACTGAGCTTGTCCATGGGAGATCTGCTGTGGTGTACAAACCTCACTGTATCATACAGGATCCCAATAGCTATGGGACTCACTAACCTTGCTATTGGAGAGGTATTGTAGAGGTATGAGTCACATCAAACTGAGCTTGTCCATGGGAGATCTGCTGTGGTGGACAGACCTCACTGTATCATACAGGATCCCAATAGCTCTGGCCTCATTATCCTGGCTACCATAGAGGTATGAGTCATATCAAACTGAGCTTGTCTTTGGGAGGTATGCTGTTGTACATAGACCTCTTTGTGTCAGACAGCTTTGTCATCCCAATAGCTCTGGCCTCACTATCCTGGCTATCATAGAGGTATGAGTCATATCAAACTGAGCTTGTCCTTGGGAGGTATGCTGTTGTACATAGACCTCTTTGTGTCAAACAGATTTGCCATCCCAATAGCTCTGGCCTCATTATCCTGGCTATCATAGAGGTATGAGTCATATCAAACTGAGCTTGTCCTTGGGAGGTATGCTGTTGTACATAGACCTCTTTGTGTCAGACAGCTTTGTCATCCCAATAGCTCTGGCCTCACTATCCTGGCTATCATAGAGGTATGAGTCATATCAAACTGAGCTTGTCCTTGGGAGGTATGCTGTTGTACATAGACCTCTTTGTGTCAAACAGATTTGCCATCTCAATTATTGCTCTGGGTGTCACTAACAAAGTTTATATCTAGTTCTACTTGTTGACTTGATCAGTTTTTTTATAGTTTTTTACTTCTTTCTATCTTCTCTGCACAGATACAATCCATGATGCACCTGGGAGAGAAAACTAGGCTTCGTAGATATATTGCAAACTTTTTCCGTGGCTTCGCAGTATTCATGATCCCTGTCGCAGCAACAGTACCATCGGTAAGTTGTTTAACTTCTTGCTTGCCTGGGACACTGATAAAGAGCGCTGATATAAATAAGCTTAAAAAACAACTTTAAAAAAAATATTTAAACAACTTTTTACATTAAAACCCCTTAAAATTATATATAAAAACCTAATGTTTCTTTGCCTTGATTTGTTATTCTTAAATTTAAAAACTCTCTTGAAAAACCCGGAACGGCTAAAGTTCCATTTCCTTTAACGTTTATTGTAAGTTTTAGAATCCTTGTGAAATTCCTTACAAGAATATTTTTTTGAGCATAAACAAATACTTTGAATAGAATAACCTATAAAATGATATATATACTACACCTCAAATGCCGTCAATATCTTTACCGAAAACCCAAAACTAACTTAAGTAAAGTTTACCAGTTGATTATAGTGCACACATGCTAATGAAAATTACTCAGCTACGTGATCTTTCATCACTAAAATAATTATTAACACATCTGAAAGACTTAATTTTAGTTACACAAAAATACTAACGGTTAATTGTAAAACCCACAATACTAAACCTAAACATAAATAACAGTTCTTTAATTTTTAATAGTTGCCCACTACTTGATGGCAATTACTACCTGATTTTTTTGTGTGTGGCACCAACATTAGCTTAAACAGACAACGTCTCTCTAATTAGCACATCTGTTTATCCGCTTGTCAATTTTATTTTTATTTTCACCTGGAGATGAGTAGACCAAGCTCTTAAAAAACCATACATAAAGGTCCAGGTTCGTGCACATACATACTTAAGAGTATCGTAAAAATGTCTCTGTGTTTAAAAAAAATCTACGTTTTTGTAAGAACGAAATAAAGATAACAACATTTGCCTGAAGATGATCCCGTAAATATCGAAAACGGTCGCCTTACAAGGTCATAAGGTTCACTTGACAGATGGTAATTGCGCCAGTACATGTAAGACTTTATGGCGCTTAAAAGATGCTATAGCTTACATTAAGTTGTCCTTTCAGTTTTATCTATGGTTTTAGGTCTGCATATTTAACAGTACCGGTACAGTAATCAGTAATTTACATCAGTGAGTTCTGTTGCTGCTCAATTTAAGCACTTTCATTTCTATTCTAAAACTTAAAACCTTATCATAAGAATGAAATATAAATCTTTCCTTAGTCATAACTACTTCTTCAACCATGTTCTTTTTAAGTGTGGTATTTTTGAAGAAATATAAATACAGTATCCAATTAGATATTGCCCACTCAGTACTTACAATGTAATGTATCTGTGCAGGCAGTGTCGCTGTATTGGTTGTCGTCCAGTGTCATCAGCTTGGGTCAGAATCTAATAGTAGTCTCTCCTAGAGTACGGAGGTTCTTCAATTTCCCCCCCACCTCATCCTTCAACCCTCATCCATACTCTCACCTCGCTCAACAGATAAAGAGTAAGTTCAGAAGTTAACTGATCTGATCACAAAGTAAACGTTTTAGCAAAGCTATCTTGTCTTTCTTTGATCTGGTGCCTTTACCACATATGTCGGATGGGGATAGCTAACATAGTGTCTAGTCTACTACTAAGTAATTTAATAAACAAATTTAAAAATGTTATGCTACTACAACATATTTGTAGTTCCTCATAATTCAACTGACAGGTTCCCCTGTCAGTTGAAAAAACTCAATATCTAACTGTAAATCAAACCTATGATGTTTAAAACATAATCATATAATTAATTGCAAATGATACTCATGCCTATAATTCCTATGGAAGGAAGGCAAGTAGAAACTAATTAAAATGGATGGATATAGGGGTGTTCTACCGTAAGATTATTTGGAAGTTTATTTCACAACCTTTATTTAGCTAATATAATTGACTTTTGGATACTAAAGAAGATAGGTCCATTTAAAAATAAAATTAAAATTTGTACCAAAAATATTTACTAGGCTTTATACAATTGAAAGAGCAACTAAAATACTTCTATTCTACATATCCCTGAAACAAATTCAGGCATTTATAAAAGCGGTGGATACGTTTTGAAATTCCTATGTCGTAGAATTCTGCCGCCTGCGAGCTCAATCACTAGACTCAATTGGATGTCCTCATCCTAATTTTGATGCACAAAACAAATTATGAGAATCACTCAAAGCCATGTATGGACTGTAGGGTGGGTGGTTGAGGGGAAATTCCTCATTTCCCTTCAATGAGATCGTGTGTGTGACTTGATCTATGAGGTTGGGTGATGTCAGGCAAAATCAAAACTTTGCACATCAACTCTATTTCATCCATTTTGAAACTGAATGCACCATTTCCAGACAGAATTTTCATTTACCAGCCTATGTTGTTTCCTTACACCTCACACCGTTGACAAAAAATTGATAGGGGAGACCGGGGATACTTGATACAGTTTTATAACTTATATTTTTCTATTTTTTCCTATTTTCCCTAGAACCACCTAACCAGTTTTTTCTGTTAACAGAACATTTTGGTTAGCTAAACCCAAAGTTTCAAACATTAAAAATCATGTTATATATTTTTTTATTTTTATTTAATAAAAGCCTGCAAAGTGTATCAATTCTCCCCAGGGGTGGGATACTTGAGACAGCTTTGGGGACACTTGATACACAGGGTTAAATTGGTTATAATAGTAAGAACTCACAAGATATGTTTATGGTTTTATTCAAAAAGTATAAAAAAACAGCTTACAGTTATATTAAAAATACAAGTCTAGGCTATAATTGAACTTTTAAAAGACAAAATTTAACCTTACAAATTGGTTTTCCTTCACAAAATAAACATTACTTTCGTTAACAATATAACTAGGCCACCTGAAGAACATTTATAGATATATTTAAATACATCGGATATTGGCCATGTTTCATAACAAAGTCAAGATAATTTTTGTCTTATTCGATACATAGTCCTTCAAATTTTTCATTGAAAAGAAAACATGTCAATCTGTCATTTTTTTCTTGAAATTTGGGTGGTGACAGTTTTTTTTCAATTTGACCGTCATCGATACAGCTGATGTCTTCACAATCAGGCCACTTAAACTTACTGCCTTCGATGTGGCGAGCAAACTTAACGTTCCATTCATCAAAAGAAATTTTCTCCTTAAGGACTCCCACGAATCTACGAACCTTTTTCTTTGACCTATAGGCTACGAGCACCCAGTCTCCAACATTTATTGAATTATCTTCTTCTTCCGACAGTGGTTCTGGTTCAAAGTTACTGGAACTCCCACTTGACTCCCACTCTTCTTCTTCAGATGAGGGTTGCGTATGTTTTGTGCTTGATTTAAATTTTTTCACAGGCCTACTTTTTGATGTAAACAAATTTAATTTCACTTTCTTCTGATTCTTTTTTTCCTCCTTTTCCTTCACTTCTTTCTCAATTTGTAATTTAACAGGGGTGTCTGTTAAAATAAGAGTTTTGCCCTTTTTCTTCCCACCTTTTCTTTGGGCCTTCCTAGGACCTGCCTTCGGATATGGAGCTATGTCTTCAGGGGTAAGAATGTGGCGCTCCCCTTCTCTCTCTTTCAAGTTCTTAGAGACAGGAGTACTTGTTACTTCAATCTCTAGGCCTATTACAGGAGATAAATAATTGTCAGTTGGAATATCGCTTGACGTTCCTGGATTTGAACTCGTGTTATTAGGCCCGGTGGGTTGCTGGTCTGAGGAGTTTCCTTCAGAAGCCTCCGGGTTTGGTCTGTCTGTGGTTGAGGCTGGAAGAAAATCTTCGTCTGTAAACACCTCACGCTTAAATGGGTGAATTCCAGTTGCCTGAAACCCCGAAATAATATTTTTTGGGGTAAATGACACTGGGAAAGCTGCTCCCACAACTTCTCCTATGTTGTATATGGTCATAGGCGTCCCTGGGTGGTTCAACAACCATTGCTGTGCTGCCCTGTCACATGCTCCCTTAAACGGTGCGTAAACAGCAACATCAAGTGGTTGCAGTCGGTGACTAGTATGAGGTGGAAATGTCAAAAGTATGATTCCAGATTTTTTTGCCAAATCAATAATGTCGAGTGATATGTGTGTTTCACTATTGTCCATGAGCATCAGAACTTTGTTCTCCTTGGAACATTTCACATGTTTCACAAAATGATCCAAAAACTGAATAAAGTTATCCTGCGTCATCCAGCCAGAATGTTTTGCATGTCCAACACCAACTGAACCAGGAGGAGCACCGATGTACATGTACTCCTTCACGTTTACTCTGGGTAAAATAATAAAAGGGGGGATATAATTTCCAATAGCATTTATCGCATTACATACTGTGACAAGAGTCCCACGTTCCTGAGATGTGGTTTGGCCAACCTGCTTAATCCCTCGCTCAGCAATTATTTTAGCAGGGCGGTGCACTGTTGTTACACCAGTCTCATCGATGTTCCAAATTGCTTCAGGGCCAAGTTTGTGTTTAGCAAGAACATTTTCTAAATTATCAAAAAAAGCGCCCACATTAACAGCATTGAAGCTTGAATTGCGTGCAATACTTGTAGCTTCAGGTTTTCTTATCGTCAGGGTTGGATTTCTTTTCATAAAAGAGCGATACCAATCAACACCCGCAATCTGGTTTTCATCCCATGATGCAGGATATTTTTTATTGTTTCGGGATGCAAACTTAAAAGCTAACTGACGGCAGCCTACTGTGCTCAAACCATGATGCAAGCGTGATGCTTTTTTCAGATATTCTGCAAGCATGGTCTCCTCCTGTTTTGTAAAAACCTGTTGTTGATGGTAGTTTGGCTCAAATGTCATTGAAGATGGTTCTGCATTTTTTGACAAGAATTTTTTAACATACCGCTGAAGGGTCATTTTGTCGATATCATACTTAAGTGCTGTTCTCCGCAATCCTATTCCATCGTCAACAACTTCTCGTACAGCTGCCTCCATTGTTTCAGATGAGATTTTCTTTCGTACATTGGTAGTAGGCTTCGGTTTGTAAAACATCGGCATCTAAAAAAAAAGAAAAAAACACTTGTAGTAACAAGTTAGTCCAAAGGATTAGTGTTGTAACCTAGTTTTACCTAGGTTTAGGCCTAGGCTCATAAAGTCTGAGGTTATAAGTGGGCTAATTAAGTTAGACCTATTAGGCCGTAAATAACTACACAAATAAAAAATAAATGGCAAAATACCGGTAACTACAAACTCAAATCACACAAGCTAACATAGTTATAGGTTAAACTTAAAGTGGTCATTTTACAAGTTTAGCCAATAAAACCAACAGTATTTGACACAGATATATAAATATTTATAACAAACATTTATAAAAAATGGCTAAAGAAGATGAATTTGAATATAGGGAGACTTGATACAGTGTATCAAATATCCCTTTGAAAACTGTATCAAGTGTCCCTCTATGACCATTTTTCATAACAAGTTCCATATCTCCTTTGAGGTTAACTTAGAAGAGCTGAGGTTGATAGAGCATATATACTAAATATGTACCTTACAATGTAACATGTTATTTCAACTAAAAAATATAAATTATATGCGTGAGACACATTTATATAGATATAGGAAATACTTACTTTTAAGTGTGGAAATGAAATATTTCAAGACCATATGCAGATCATGTGCAGCAGATTATTCCAGACAACACAGGAAACTAGAAACAACCTAAAGAGTATCTGGTTTGATTTGCAGCTGATTCTAACCATAGAGTAATAAATTAGGTGGGGTGTATCAAGTCTCCCTATGTATCAAGTATCCCCGGTCTCCCCAGGTTTTAACACGTTCGCTTCTGACGACTCCAATCAGAGTCATGCCGTACTGGCATAGCGTGCGTACGACTCCGGTCGGAGTCACGGTGCAGTGTTATACAAGTTGGTCTACTGTGACCTCCGCATTTATCGGTGATCAACATCATCGGTGGTCAGCATGTTGTGCTGGTCCTATACTTAAATTTGGTTTAGGTTGGGTTTAGGTTGGTAATAAAATATCCCGTAAAATCCCGTCTGGCAACACTTTTTGTCCTGTTTTCGGGCATTTTCTCTCTTCAAGCCACATTATAAAGACACTGGCTACGGATCCAGGCAGTGCTGCTATATGTGAGTTTTTTCAGTAAACTACGTCCACTCTGGGGGTAACACAGCACCATCACCAGAGCTGTTTTGCCGCTGTCAAGACTGAAATATTTAAATGCTATTGCGTTCACTGATTCACTAGCGCGCCGAGGCTGCGACGCATTTTTCTACCATCCCGCCAAAGGGATTCTTGCAACGAACGTGTTAATTTAAGTGTATGGCCAACAAAAACCGTATTACAGACCACACCTCACAACTGGTGTACTTTTCAGTTGCAGCACACATTTTAGACTTATTGCGACAGCACAATGACTCCTCCACAGGACGGCTGGACATTCATTAAGTAGGCGAACACATCTGTGCTAAAAAGCATCAGACCAGCTCATGACTATCGGCGTCAGACAAATGTTCCTTACTTTCTCAATAGTCCTTTTATGTGGACTAATATCGCTAATTTTGGATTGATTAAACACTTTCAGCAATCTGACACATACTTTCTACCATTAGCTTGTTATCAACCCTTGTCATAAGTAAGCAGTGGGAGTAACTAACCTATGATATTTTATGGGAAAAATAAAAAAAGTTAAAATAAGTTTTGATCAATAATGTTTAAAGCAATGGGGGTACGATTTATTTAGAGTTAAAAAGGCCATAAATGCCAAATTTTGATCCAGATAATTAGCTCTAAACACATCCACATACACACACACTCACACTCAGACATCACTTCAAAAACCATTTTCTTACAGATATTTCCACCCAAAACTCAAACATTTTGACAAAAACAATACTTTCTCTGAGTTTCTCCATACTATGTATTGGGGGAGAAAGTAAAAATTAGTTGTTATGATTATCAGCTGTTAGAGATGTTGATGGACTTGTGACAGACAAAGAGTCTTTTACATCCATAGCTGTCACTGGCCACACCTTCTGCAGTATGGACAGAGGACATTAACAGCACCAACGTCTGTGGTGGTGGTGGTGGTTATTGATGCTGTGGTTTTGTTTTCTGTCACACATCTTTGTATTTGGACATGGGTTATTCATCCAATTTGGTGATTCATAAATGTTGTGTTTTGGTTTTTTAAGCCATAGCTTACAGCGAATTTCCCGTATAGGGAATAAGCTATTACCGTAGTACTCAGTAAGACCTGGACCCGGGACTGATTTAATTTTTCATTTTGAGGTCCCTAGAGGCCAAAAATACCATCCGTTCAAATTCATATATATATATATATATATATATATATTTATTTATATATCTTACTTCTTACTAATATTATAAATGTGAAAGTTTGTGTGTTTGTTTGTTTGAAGTTCAATCACGCATAAACTACTGGACGGATTGTGCTGAAATTGGGCATGATGGTAGCTCACATTCCCGATTAACATGTAGGCATATTCTTATCTCATAAATCCTTTCGGGCTCCGATCGTGGCTCTGTAGTTTCCCATGTTAACCTAATGAGTATTCATATTTAAAGGGAATTAAAGAATTTAGTCAGCTGTTTCAACTAAAAAAGTTGGTTCTATGATGCAAAAGCATTAAAAGTTATAAGGTTTACCAACAGGGTGCAGCACCATAGTTTTTTTGCATTTATGAAAACTGAAAACAGCTAATTTTAACTAATACAAAATACTGTGATATGCAATGAGAACTGGTCAAAGTAGGATTGTTTAATGTTCAAACACACTTAATCCCTCTTTTAAATTATTAAGTAAGATGTTTCTAATAGTACTGAGTCAATGAGCCGCATAGTATGAAACATAACGCTGAGGAATACGTTACGCTTAAATTCGAGTAATTCTAGTTACATCTTAGAGTTGTTTAAACACTTGTTAGAAACTAATTTTAAATATCTCTATTTGCGTCGTCAAGGCTCACCTAAATTATTTCTGCTCTCAGTTTTAACTGATAATGTCTAATGAATGCGTAACTATCTGCTTCAATTCAAGTGAACATTTTGCAACAAAGTTTTTGCAGCATTGAGAATTGAATAAAACTGTTGTCTTACTGATAACCTGTATTAAGTAATTTAATTTGGGTCATTTTATTTCTTTGATTTGAGACATCCCCCTAATCAAACAAATTTTTCTCCGTAGAGAATCCTGAAAAGTGGGGTGATATCAACCATTTCATGTGCTCCATTTTTTACCTACAAACTCTGGGTTACCAACTGGACAGTCATAATCTGTTTTGAGTAGGCTTTTTTTAAAGCAGCAACACCATTGAAAGTTGGTTAACATATTTTAAAGAGTTGTCTGTCAGTCACAGTATATGACCCGCATCAGAACGTTCTTGCGTTGTTCAGTGGAGTTTCTCTTAATACCTGTCCCAAAGTTTTCAAAGTACGGATTCATTGGTATAATCTTACTACAGTCCAACCTCAGTATAACGAATCTGAAGGGACCGAACTGAATATTCGTTATATCAAGGATTTCGTAAAAACGAGGTTCGTTATATAGAGGTTATGTTTGCAGGAATTTCGCTAAGACGAGGTTCAGAACCAGCGTCGGTCAATATAGGTCGGGATTAGTCATCATTAAAACACAATTAAAGTAGCATAGGCTACTATACTTTACAGTACAGTGTTTACATTGTACAGAAGAACCTAAATTATCCGGCATAATAAAGTGGAGGGATCTTGAATATTGCGCAATCATGACAATGGCATTGACCTTGGTACAGGTTAAGAAACTGTAAGTTTAAAATCACAGCTTGTTCTAACCCTCCTAAAACCTAGCCAAACACTGTATTGCGTAGTCATGTCATAGTCATAAATCATGTAAAGAATAAAACAAAACAGTAGTATGTAGAAAGTTTTGTAAGCTACTGCTCGTGATAGGCCAGTAGGCTACTTACAGTACAGTACCGGTACTGATTTATCACAACAGATGACAGGAATGTCAATAATAATCATTAACTATAGCATTGGTGTTGCTAGTTGAAACAAATCGTATTGAAAACAATACAGTAAATTATTAGATAAGTCATTATAAATGTGTATAATCAATAGCCAACTTAAAGATAATAAAAACACTCGAAAAAGGAATGTTAAAATAACGATGTTGCTATTCTTTCTCTTTGGTTTTGTTTTTATATTCTTTCTTAGGTTTCTCTTTATCCAAAAATTGTACAATTCACCATAGTTACTTATCGCCCAATCACAGCTTACTAAAACATTACGTCGTCATCAGTCCTCAGTGAATGAAATCAGTTCTCAGTTGCAACATAGCGCGCGCAGCGACAGCAGACAGCGATGTGTAAAACGGAGCAGACGAATGTTAGCGCAAGCAATGACGTCACCTTTCCATTTCATTTGATAAAGAAACAGATTTTTCAAAAACAATAATGGGGTGGGAGATTTGTTATATCGAGGGAAAGACGTAGACAATTCGTTATGCAGAGGTGAAATTCGCAATGTAGAGGTTCTGACAATGATAAATTCGCTATATTGAGGTGTCTTATTTTAGCCGAAATCACGAAAAATTCGTTAAATCAAGGTCGTTGTTATGGTTTGTTCGTTATGTAGAGGTAAAATATACATTGTGTCTTATGGAGAGTTCTAGGGGATTTAAAAAAATTCGTTATATCAAGGAATTCGTTGTATCGAGGTTCGTTATATCAAGGTTAGACTGTACTTGAACTTATCATAGCCAAGGCATTATTATAGTTTCTACTAAATGTTTTGAAATATCTCGATCTGTTAGTGTCAGAAGTAAACATTTCTTGCATGCATTCATTTGATCAGACATTAGGCAAGTTTACTTTACCACCGTGACAACACTATGTGCTTTGTATATTTTTTTGAAATCCAGCGATTTGTTCAAGTTCTGTGATTATTTTTTGGGGTCTCGGCGTAATTCG